ATAGACTCAAACTTTCCATTGATGCTTATTTAACAACCTTTTAATTAATGTTTATTTGATGTAATTTGGTTGTTAAGAAAAATGACAATTGTATATATCTTCTATCGACTCGAAGTCCATGGTTTAGTTATCAAACATATTCAATAGTGTTAGCAATGATCATGTGACTTTGGTTATCTTCTGTCTTGACCATTTTATGTAAATTATCACATTCTTCTTTCCTTTGGATAAGGTTGATCATGATACGGTCATCTGATCGTATATTACTTTTTTTAGTGGGTCTTGTCTGTCCTCAGTTTTCTCCTTCAATTTAGTAGGTCCATGTAGAGTGAGAAGGATTCATTAATGATGATACTTTTACTTTTTTTAGGAAGTTTTGTTTCTTTCTTAATTAACTGTTTAAAGTATTGCATATTTCCTATCTACATGCTGGCTAAATTACTAAACTGAAGCAGCCACATGCACCCATGTCCCTATCTCTAGACACATCAACTTATATTTATATATTGAAGATATTGATTTCATTTTAGAGAGATAAGGACAGAAAAAAGGACAAAGAAGTGTTGTGAATGGTAATATGTTCATCAGAATAATTATTATTGTCTCACTAGGGAAAATGGATTAAACTATCAGTCATATTAATTACCTATAATGACAGAAAACTAATCATCGAAGCATGTCAATTAAGCCAATGAAAGATAGCAAAACTTTTGAAAACAAATCAACACACAGTGAACGGCGCCTGGCCTGTCTTTTTTTTTTTTTTTTTTCTCCATCCATGCATGATCTCTATCTGCTGAAAGTGTATCTGGGTCAACAGTGAGATTATGGGGGCGAAATTCACTTGTTTGGATCATGCTATAATTCGTTTTCATTTTCATGGATTTCTTTGTAAAATTCAAGACTTACGTACTTATGATAGTTAAATTGGTATAGAACATGTGGAGTAATATTTTATCTCCAAAAAAGCTTAAGGGGAGAAGGTAGATTCCAATGTGGGACACTAACAATTTCATAATTAGGATAGGAAGCACAATTATTGTTTGCCTTCCCCATCCCCAGAATCACACACTCGGTTTTTGAAGCAATTGTTGGGCAAGGTTTGACAAATGTGATGGACCCTAGGCTCATGTAACACAAACCCGACATGTAGTAGAGAGTATAAGACAAGATATGCCCATATCAATTAAGTTGTCAATCTTGTTCCCACATAATTGCATTCATTTAGAATGATATTGAAGCTATTCAACACTTACCATATTAAATTACTGTTTGCTATTTATATATATATTTGATCTTTACACACGCTGACCGGTCTTGGGTCAACAAAAAGTTATTGACAAGTACTTTGGCACTAAGGAACATTGAATGAGATGATGGCTCCCATGGTTGTATATCAACACTTACCGTTTACGGATGGAGACTTGAATGGCATGATTCATTGGTGGCTTTTGTATAATAGAAGTTGAACTTGTGCACTTCATTTAAGTGATCATGAAGAAAAAATGATTTCTCTTCGATAAGCAGATTTGGGCACAGGATCATTCGTGTTTTAATAATAATAATAATAATAATAATAAGGGTTAAGAAGGATTAACGTTATAAAAGAACACCTCGTTTTCACTACTAGAAAAAAGGTGTTTTCCTACGGATAATAGCTACGGAAAAATTCCATAGCTAATTAGCTACGGAATGGCTACGGATTAGCTACAGAAATGGACGCCCTAATTTAGTAACGGAATAGCTACGGAATAGCTACGGCATAACTACGGATTCAATTCCGTAGGTATTCCGTAGCTAATTAGCTACGGGATAGCTACGACATCACTACGGATTCCACTCCGTAGCCATTCTGTAGCTAATTAGCTTCGGAATAGCTACGAAATAGTTACGGATGTTAACCTGTAGCTATTCCGTAGCTACTTAGCTACAAAATGGCTACGGAATAGCTACGCATATAATATTAAACCATTAAATGAATAAAGGATCTCGAAGGTGCAAACGACTGTATCAACACTATTAATGACTATAAGTTGTTGAAACCAAAGATAATCGTGTATAATAGAGGTGGGAAAAAAACGAAGAGAAAAAAACGATGTTTAATGCCCGGAAAATCAAAAATAATAAAATCCGTAGCAACTCCGTAGCTAATTAGCTACGGATTAGCTACGGATTTTTTTTATTTTCTATTTTTTGGGCACCAAACGTTGTTTTTTTCGCTTCGTTTTTTTTACACTTCTACTATACATCATTATCTATACTTTCACCAACTTATAGATATTAATAACATTCATAAAGTCGTGTGGGCCTTCGTGATCAAGTATTCGTTTCATAGTTTTAACAATGTAATTATACTTTTCACCAAATTGTGATGAATTTATTTTTGTATATGTATATTTACATACATGAAAGAGTTGTGGTATATGTGTACGTGTATGTGTATACGTGTTTGTGCATATTTATATGTGAACGTAGATCATAAGCGTGTTAAACCATTAAACGAGTAATGGATCTCATATGTGCACACAACTTTATGAATGATATTAATAGCTATAAATTGGTGAAAATAGAGATAATCATGTATAATAGAGGTGTGAAAAAAACGAAGCGGAAAAAACGACGTTTGGTGCCCGAAAAACTGAAAATAAGAATTATCCGTAGCTAATCCGTAGCGAATTAGCTACGGACTAGCTACCTACGGATTAGCTACGGAATGTGCTTTCCGTTAGAAATCCGTAGCTAGTCCGTAGCTAATTCGCTACGGATTAGCTACGGATAATTCTTATTTTCAGTTTTTCGGGCACCAAACGTCGTTTTTTCCGCTTCGTTTTTTTCACACCTCTATTATACATGATTATATCTAGTTTCACCAACTTTTAGCTATTAATATCATTCATAAAGTCTTGCGCACCTTCGGGATCAAGTACTCGTTTAATAAGTACTCGTTTAATGATTTAACAATATAATGACTATATTTTTCACCAACTTGTGATGGATTTATGTTTGTAGACATGAATGAGTTGTGGTATATATGTATGTGTATATGTGTATGTATACGTTTTTGTGAGTATTTATATGTGAACGTAGATGATAAGCATTAGAGTTTAAAACCATTAAACGTGTAATGGATCCCGTATGGGCACACGACTTTATGAATGACATTAATAGCTAAAAGTTTTAGAAAATATAGATAATCATGTATAATAGAGGTGTGAAAAAAACGAAGCGGAAAAAACGACTTTTGGTGCCCGAAATGTCGAAAATAAGAATTATCCGTAGCTAATCCGTAGCTAATTAGCTACGGACTAGCTACGGAATTCTAACGGAAATAATAATAATAATAATAGAAATAATAATAATAATAATAATAATAATAATAGAAATAATAATAATAATAATAATAATAATAATAAGAAGAAGAAGAAGAAGATGTTTAAATAGAATAGTCAAGCATGTTAGTATGGATCTGGCATGCCCGGTCGGTTGGTAAGTTCGTGGTATTGTACGTAGGTAACCCGAGTTCGAATCCCACCCGCGTTTTTTTTTTGCAGGCTGTAGCTAATCGGTAGCTAAACTGTCGCTAAACGTGTCCGTAGCTAAGCCGTAGCAGATTCCGAACCTGTGCCGTAGCAAATCGGTAGCTTTTTTTTAATTAAAATCCATTTTATTTCCTTGTTATATTCATCACACGACAATAATAATAATAATAATAATAATAATAATAATAATAATAATAATAATAATAATAATAATAATAAAATAAAATAATAATAATGATAATAATAATAATAATAATAATAATAATAATAATAATAATAATAATAATAATAATAAGATGTTTAAATAAAATAGGCAAGCATATTAGTATGGATGTGGCATGCCCGGCCGGTTGGTAAGTTTGTGGTATTGTACGTTGGAAACCCGAGTTCGAATCCCACCCACGTTTTTTTTGCAGGCCGTAGCTAATCGGTAGCTAAACCGTCGCGAAAACGGTCCGTAGCTAATCCGTAGCAACTTCCGAAGCTGGTCCGTAGCAAATCGGTAGCTATTGTTTTTAATTAAAATCCATTCTATTTCCTTATATCCCACGAATTCCCCCCACCCCTTCACCCCTTCTGTTCAGCGAACAGATCCAGAAAAGAAAGAACCAAACTTCTCCCCCCCCCCCCCCCCTCTCGTTCCAACAATCGCCGGCGATTCCTCCGATCTCACCGTTGCCGTCGCCGTCGCCGAGCTGTGCTGCCGTCGCCGGCTTTCTTCTCCGGCGCAGTTCCTTCTCTCTCTCGGCCTTTTGCTCGATTCTTCCCTAAAAGGTAAAACCCTAGTGTTTTTTTTTTTTTTTTTTTTTTTTTTTTTTGAAATTACTTGATGTATACAATTTAGATGCTTTATTCATTGATAATGCTAATAAGTTTTGTTGAATGTGATGTCGAATTTAAGATTTAGATTTAATTTGGTTGAATATTTGGTTAATTTCATAGCTTGGTTGAATATATGGTTAATTTCAATTTGTTAAAAATGTTAATTTTGTTGAAATGTGATATATAAAAAATGTTGTGAACTTTAATTTGTTAAAAATTTTAATTTTGTTGAAATGTGATATATAAAAAATGTTGTGAAATTTAATTTGTTAAAAATGTTAATTTTGTTGAAATGTGATATATAAAAAATGTTGTGAACTTTAATTTGTTAAAAATGTTAATTTTGTTGAAATGTGATATATAAAAAATGTTGTAAACTTTAATTTGTTAAAAATGTTAATTTTGTTGAAATGTTAGGCTAATTTTATAAATTTGTTAAAAATGTTTGATTAAATGGGATGTTATATATGTATCATTAGTTATATATGTGTATTATGTATGTGTATTATGTTAATAATTTTTATGGGCTTTTTATGTATCATTAGTTATATATATTAGATTAAATGAGATGTTACACTATTACTTTGTTTAGTTTAAAGTTTTAACATTTTTTATATCTAAATGTAGTTTTAGATCGAAATGTTGTCTAATAGAGAATGGATGTACACAAAGAGACTCGATAATCGTCGTTTGTTTAATCCACAATGGCCACATTATGTTAATTTGTTTTTGGATTTTGCTTATGCGAACGCAACAAACATCCAACATATCATTAGGGAAGGGGTGGAAGTTTTTGAAATTAGATGTCCGTGTGCGAAATGCAAAAATATTTATTACCTTCCGAGAGAATTAGTTTTTAGCCATCTTGTTAACCGAGGCTTCATGATTGGTTATACACAATGGTATTTACATGGAGAAAAATATCCAACACTAGAGATAGGTCAATGTTCAAACCCAATTTCACCTCAACACGTGGGTCCAAGTTCGAATATTGAAACAGTTCAACACATTAATAACGATTTTAGTGATTATCATAGATATGAGGAGATGGTTATCGATAGCATGCACCAACCTGAGGCTTCGTATTATCAACAAACACCACAACACCCAAATCTTGAAGCCCAAAATTTTTATAAAGTTTTGAAACAAGCGAGTGAGCCTTTATGGGACGGGTGCACAAAAACTTCCACACTCTCTGCCACCACTAGATTATTGGATTGGAAATCCCAATCTAATGTTTCAGACACGTCATTTGATACACTTCTTTCGATTGTTAAAGACATTCTACCAACTGGCGAGAAGCTTCCTAATAACTTCTACGAGACCAAGAAAATGTTGAAGCCACTAAAATTGCCTTCAGAACGGATTCATGTATGTATAAACCATTGCATGCTATTCAGGGGCCAGTTTGCTGATTTGGATCATTGTGCAGTATGTGGAGAAAATAGATACAAAGCCAAAGGGAGAAAGGTTCCTAATTTGGTCATGACTTACATGCCGATTGGACCGAGACTCCAAAGGCTCTTCTATTCAAGGAAGACGGCCAAACATTTAACTTGGCATGCAGATCATTTAGTAGATCCAGAAAAGATGATACATCCCAGTGAAGGTGAAGCATGGAATCATTTTGACAGAAAATTTCCTAATTTTGCAAATGAGAAGCGCAACATACGTCTCGGGTTGTGCACTGATGGGTTTAGTCCTAATAATTCAAACACGACTCCCTATTCGTGTTGTCCAGTGTTTCTCACTGTTTACAACCTACCCCCTTGGTTGGCTTTTAAACATCAATACATACAACTTCCATTGATTATTCCTGGGAAGAAGAGTCCCGGACAGAATTTGGATGTTTTTTTACAACCTTTGGTGGACGAGTTGAAGATGTTGTTCACAGATGGCATTGAAACTTATGACGCTCATCGAAAGACCAATTTTCAAATGAAGGTTGTACTTCTATGGACAGTTAGTGACTTCCCTGCTTATGCAATGTTGTCCGGATGGAGCACTCATGGTAATTTAGTCTGTCCGTATTGCATGCACCAAACAGAATCATTTCGACTTTCCAACGGACAAAAACCGTGTTGGTTTGACTGTCATAGAAAACATCTACCCGAAAGACACGTATTCCGAAATGATACAGTTAATTTCTTAAAAGGCAAGAAAGTGAAGGGTCATGAAGTGCCTGTTCCATATCCAACCGGAGAATATATTTGGGAGAAAATCCAACATTTTCCCACTGTATACAACGGTACTCCCTATGGTCCAAATTATATAAAACCAAAAGGTTTTGGTATTACACATAACTGGGTAAAGAAGAGCATCTTTTGGGAGCTTCCATATTGGCGTCACCTGTTGATCCGACACAACCTCGATTTGATGCATGTTGAGAAGAATTTTTTTGAAAATATGTTTCATATTTCGATGGGTACCCCAAAGTCCAAAGACAATATGAAGGCAAGAGAGGATATTGAGATGCTATGTGACCGACCTATACTAAACCCCATTAGGGACAACAATAGGAAGCCTAGGAAGAACCCTGGAAAGTACACATTAACAAAGGAACAAGTTAAAAAAGTATGTGATTGGTTGAAAGAACTAAAATTTCCTGACGGATATGCATCAAATATAGGTAATTGTGTAAACACCAAAGATTACAGTTTTTATGGTTTCAAAAGCCATGACTGTCATGTGTTTATGCAACGGTTGCTTCCCCTAGCTATAAGAGGTTTTGTTCCAACAAAGATATATGAGGCCGTATCAGAGATATCCATGTACTTTCGAGTATTGTGCTAAAAAACGTTGCATCTTCAGGACTTGTTCGATATGAAACGTTGTATTGTTCAGACCATGTGCAAGTTGGAGCAAATATACCCTCCTAGCTTCTTTGATTCCATGGAAAACCTGGTCATATACTTAGCTGATGAAGCTATTGTTGGTGGTCCGGTACATTACAGATGGATGTACCAATACAAGAGGTAATATCCCTATTTTAATAATATATATAGTATTTTTAAAGTCATTTCTGGTATTCCTAACACATCGTCCATACATTATAATATAGGAAACTGGGCATAATTAAAAGAAGAATCAGGAACAAAGCACGAGTTGAGGGTTCAATAGTCAATGAACATCTAGTGAATGAACTCGCTACCTATTGTTCATTATATTTTGACCCGACGATTGAGACACGCCATAATCGAGAAGCGCGGAATTTTGCACCACAAAGTCACAGGTTTTCAATGTGTGTATGTTTTCAATCGTATTGATTATTATTAATGCATCGTTAACCAACACAATGTGTGTATGTTTTCAATGTAGATAATGTATAAGACACCCGATGGAAGTGCTAGACACTTAGAAGTTATAGCTACGAAACCATCGAGACATGCTTATTTTCATAATGGGTATTTTGTAAATGGTTATAAGTTCCACACTCAACAATACGGCGAGGGTCGTGCGACAAAAAACTTTGGAGTATGTGTTAGAGGGGAGACGTATAATGCTGAACAAGAGTCAGACTACTACGGCATATTGCAAGAGATCTTAGAGATTGAGTATTATAGCAGTGGACCTTCGACTGTTCTACTGTTTAATTGTATTTGGTTTGATAACAAAGACGGTGTAATAGTCAACAAAAACAAGTTGGTCGATGTCAAACCCAAATCTCGACTTCAAACTGACGATCCTTTTTGTTTGGCATCACAAGCTGAACAAGTATTTTATACACCATACCCTTCAATGTCAAATGAGACGAAAGACAAATGGGCGGTTATCAAAACAAAACCAAGAGGGGTATTTGAAGTCACCGAAGCTGAAATGGAAGCAGATGAAGTCTTTCAGGTTGAAGAACGGTTTGAGTCACCCCTTACTGTAACTCGTGTGGAACCGTTATGCCTAGCCTCAACTATAAATACATATGAGCAAATATCTGATGAAGCGAATGAGAGAATTGTGGAGGAAGACGAAGAAGTGGAAGATTTTGAAGACGGAGGTGATGAAAACGAGTTTTATTATTCAGAAGAAGAATTTGAAGACGAAGATGATGGGGATGAATGTTAGGAGTATTGTCTTTTGTTGATGTTAGGAGCATTGTATTTTGTTTATGTTAGGAGCATTGTCATTTTGAAGACTGTTGTACTGTTTAAACGTTGTTTTGTTAATGATTTGGATTTGGATATCCGGTTGTTTTAAACATTTGTTTTGTCATGACTTATCAATCTTATATTATATATCTGACCATTCTTGTTCTATTAAATGCAGCATGTCAGGTAATCGACGCAAGGATAAAGGCCACAGTACCAACACTTCTTCTAGCAGTGTGGGGTATAGGAGGGGGGAGGGTTATCCCCTAATTCTACCGACGAGCCACGTTATAGGACATCACTCATACCGATTGATATGCCGATAGTGACAGGAGTCGCAGGCTCCAACAGTCAGGGTGCCATCAATGAACAAACCGACATGGCTGATCCTTTAGCAGATTTGGCTGGGATTCTTCGCCATCAGGCTCGAGGGCTGGGTCATATGTCCCAACTCATACAGACAGATTATAGGCTCCAATCCCCACAAATGGGTTATACGCCTCAGTTTCCAAATACAGGTGCTGAGTTGCCGACCCCACAAACGGTTTTGAGGCCGGGTGGTCGTGATGGATTTGAGGAGTACTATTTTGAGGGTGCAGATGCACAGACAAACTTTCGGTCGCCACAGACCCCGCACACGCCACGGCCTCCGAACACGCCACCGACACCACATGGCTCCACCTCTAGAGGTGTTACGGGCGGCCACGACTCGAATGCGAGTGATTTTCAGGAGTCTTCGTTGCCCCTCATCAGCCGAAAAGGGAGAAAGTTAGTGTTTTCATATTTTAAAACTTTAATTTTTGATGTTAAAATTCTACTTATATAGTTCTTTTCAATGTAGGTTTGGGTCTAGGAAAATCCACAGCACGTGTATTAGTCTCTATTGGGAGAATATGGATCATCCGTGGCCCCGATTGAGGCCCTTTTGCAGATGTTTTCGCGTTTCAAGGCAATATATTAAATATAAATTATTGTATCTTATACTCATTTGTTTTTACTTTGTATTTTTAGATTTACTTTTTATTTTTTTACAGACCATGTACAGGTGGAATTCACTAGAGAATAGTAACATATTTGATGCCTTCAAGTGTGTCCTCAAGGATAGATACAGGGATCGGATGAAGCGTATCAGGATTAAATCTGGGGAAATGGCACGAAATGATGGGAAACCCGTCCCCTTAGGTCATTGTACCTACTACGAAGGGATGCATGACTACCGCCCTGAGCGCGTACCGGAGAATGTGTGGCGACGTTTGTGTGATGTAATGGATATGATACTTTATTATCTATTTTGTTGAATTTTAATCTCTTATTGTATTAGTATCCTTATATTTTTTTTTCTTTTCATAGCATTGGTCGACAGATAAGTGGAGAAAGAATTCAAAAATTGCTCAGCAGAACCGCAAAGTCGCAGATGCTAATGGGTCGACAGCTAGGCACACCGCGGGTAGTATAGGATTTGACGAGCACCGTAACAACTTAGTAAGTATCATAATTATAAATTTTATTATCTTATTTTTTTAACACTAACTACATCAACTATACTTTGTATTTTTATGTAGGAAAAGGTATTGGGTAAACCACCCACACAATTTGATGTTTTCATGAAGACGCATGGTACAGCTGAGGCGAAAAAAAGGTATTTTGCGGGAGATCATGAAAATCTCGAATATTGCTCACTAACTGCCAAAGAAGCACAAGTAACTTATCTTTTATCATTTATTATCTATTTTGATGTCTTAGTATTTTTGTACATGACAATGATACTTTTTTGGTAATTTGTAGGAGATGTATCTACAGGAGATGGCCAAAAAACACAGTGAAGACTCTTCAAACCATAAAGATGATGCGAGGGTATGGGAGGAAATTCAACTTAGGAGAAAAGGAAAGAAGAAGGGTGATATCTATGGCATAGGAGCATCAGATATACATTTTGTGATTACTGGGACACTGTCTTCCCAATCCACCCAATCGGATAGTACACAACAAGAGGTATGTTGTTATGGTTTAAACGTTAATTAGTATGTTGATAATATTGATATAATAAACTAAAGTACATTGCTAATATTGTTTAACTATTGTATTGTGTTGACATTTTTTTAGGTTGATAGGTTGCGTGCACAAGTTTCTACCATGGAACAACAACAACAAATGAAAGAACAAATGGAAATGGTTATGAGGATGATGAATATGTCTGGAAATCAACCCCGTGCTCCCCCTGATAATCCACCTGAGGACAATTGATAAGTATTTTGGAACAATTTAGTTTGTAAACATTTGATATTGTTTGTTTTGTTTAGTGCTTACTTTTGTAAGATATTTTGGACAATGGATTGGAATGTGTCAAACTTGGTATGACGGACGTTTTTTGGTGTATTTTATATGGTATTTGGGACAAATGTGAATTTAATGTGGTATTTGACAAAAAATTGGAAATTTATAATTTTTTTTTTTAAATAAAACGAAGTTAGCTACGGATTTCCGTAGCTATTTACTTGCGTAGCGATTCCGTAGTTGTTTTGTTCCGTAGCTATTCCGTAGCTATATAGTGCCGTAACTATTCCGTAGGAAATCCGTAGCTATTTAATTCCGTAGCTATAGTAGCTACGGAATATTCCGTAGCGATTTTGTAGCTAATCCGTAGCTATAATTTAGCCACGGGCTATTATGCTACAGTCAATTTTCCGTAGCAATTCCGTAGCTATCCGCTTATAGCTACGGAATAGCTACGGATTGTGCCGTAGCTATTGCACCCATTTTCTAGTAGTGTTTTTATTTAGCCAGTTTAGATTACCCAATTACTTTTGGTTTGTGCCAAGTCATTTTACTTGATGTCACTCATGTTATTAATCGGATTAAGCAAAAAAAAAATTGACATTGACTCAACTTGACATGCATTTGTCACATCATTAAAATGTCCAATTCGCATAATAACAATATACTTTTATTTGTCTCACCTAGATTACCAACTCTGGCATATACGTACTAAGTCATTGTATGTTGAGTTGCGCAGTCTGATTTAAATGCGAATACAAAGTTATTGTTAAAACTTAGGCCAATGGCAAAACTTTTAATTAATAAAGCAATCTCGTTTTGGTAAAGAGCACAGTCGCTACTTGGTCAAGAGACAATCTCATCTTTAGTGAATGGTGAAGGTATTAGGAGGAAGTGAAGTCTCGATTGATGATTAAGAAGAAAATGTTAAGCTACAAATAAAAAAGCAAAGTTGATGACATGTGTGAAGTGGAGTCTCAATTAACTGATCCAAAGCGCAATCTTGGTTGATGGCTGTAGAAACAAATTCTTCTCTTCAGTGTTCTATAACCTCAGTGCTCTCCAGACTTTGATTGCTTGAGTGATAGAGAAGCAGTTCCTGACATTAGGCTTCAATATTATCCTTTCTACTTGGAGAATAAGTTTGTTAATAATCTAACTTATGCCCTAGGCCCAAAATCAAGGTAAAATTTTCATTTTTTATAACCAAACCAAAAACCATAAATGTTTACAAAACATGGTCTCCAAGAGTTAAAATCACAAATCAGAGTTTTCTAAAATCAAATCTCCATGTTCAAATCCTGGCAACACTCAGCCCTTGTGGCCATGGAGGTTCGCCTGCAGTGACTCCAGGGCATGAGGCAAAGCTTTATGTTTACAGCGGGGGATTAGTCGGTGCGTGAAAACTGGCTCGGAAACTCTCGTTAGGGAAGTTCCCTTTCCAAAAAAAAAAAAATCAAATCTCATAAATCTAAAGGATATGCACGATCAAGCCTTCACCTTTCCCCGATCATCTAAAGTACCTGAAACATAAAACTTAATTTGTAAGCCAAAGCTTAGTGAGTTCCCCCAAATACAACACACAGCCAAACAAATATACATATTGCATGTTGGGTTTACAACCTCCCTGTTAGATTACCTTGGTATACAACCTCTCGGTTGGATTGCCATACATATTGCATGCTGGGTCCATAACCTCCCAATTGGATTACCCTAGCCCACAACCTCCGGGTTGGATTGCCAGTCTGGCCCACAATCTCACAAGAGTCTCAAGAATCAACCACACTTTAGATCTAACACCTATTTTATCAAAGGGACGTTGGAGATCCATAAAGTTGGCAAATTTATAGATTCCAAACACTAAATCCATGAAATAAAATGCATAAAAAGCTAGATGCTCTTCTTCTTCTTCTTCTTCTTCTTCTTCTTCTTCTTCTCCCTTTTTGCTAGAAATTACCACAAATAAGCTCAAAATCAACTATGGAGGGCTAGGGTTCAAAGGGATGTGTTGAGAGGTGATGAAGGCTAGGGGTGGTATAATTGTAGCCCTAAGTTTCTTTAAATACGGAAACAAGCCTAAAAAAAATTAGGGTTTTCCTCTTAGACTATCCTCACGTCGTGAGCGATACATAATCATGTCGTGAGTCCAAAGATGATGCACATTTTCAAATATTCTCTTCACGACGTGACATACATTCCTTAGATTGTGAGACAAGTGAAACTTCTAAATTCTACTTAATGAAATGATTACCTAAAATGGGTGTTACAATTCTCCCACACTTAAATTAGACTTTGTCCTTAAAGTCTGATTCCGCGAATAACTCAAGATAGTGCTCCCATTACTCTGCCTCAGGTTCCCAAGTCTATTCAAAACCTTTCTGATGTTGCCACTGAACTTTAACCAATGATACTACCTTGTTGTGCAAGGCCTTCATCTTCCTATCCATAACCGCCACTGGCCTCTCAACATAATTCAGGTGATCATCAACTTGAATATCATCCAAAGTAACAACTGCTAAATCATCAACCACACACTTCCAAAGCTGAGAAATATGGAAGGTGTTGTGAATTTGACTGAGCTCCTTAGGTAGATCCAAACGATAGGCTACCCTTCCCACTCTGGCTAATACTCGAAAAGGACCGATGAATTAAAGCCCCAACTTTCCCCTCTTCCTGAAATGTATTACATTCTTCCATGGTTAT